AGAGGGACTGCAGATCTCAAGATTCATGATCAGTGTCTATCCTGCAGGCTTAAGCTGCTTTCTGAGCTGATGTGAAGGGTGTAACTCTGCCCTGGCAGGACTGTCCTAGGTACAGGAGCTTGGGGGAGGTACTCATCTTCCTGTTTCCTCCTGGAAGCAGGAGAAACTTTCCTGCTTTGGGCAATCAGGCTCCCCAAAGCATCCTGTAGTTGTGTGAGGTTTGGCTGCCCCCAAAGAGGGGGCAGAAGCTCTGCTGCGTGTTCTGATGTTCTCAGGCTGCAGCGTAGGAGCAGGGCAAGTGTGTGCTGCTTGCTTTTGTGGGAAAAGAGGTTTAATGAGGTGTCAAATACAACCCAGTCCCTCTGGGGAAGGGGAAATGGCTGAGCAAAAACTAAAATGTGGGAGCAGAATGCTTTTGCCCTGGAATTGTGAGCGGGTCACTTCAGACTAGAAGCAGGCCAAGAGATGAGCTTTGGCACTGTGCTCCTGGTTTGGTTATGTTCCCAGCTGATGGCTGTGATGTTCTACAGCCTGGAAGGGTCTGGTGCTGTTAGTGCCATTCTGAGCATTTAGGCATCAATGTTATCCCATGACCTCTCACTGACTTGTTTGGGACTGCCTGAGTGGGTGTCATCCCCATGTAATGAAAAGCAAGGAACATAGAGCACCATCTTCCCATGGTTTTCTGTCTTCCTTCTCTTCTCTGTCAGTGCTGGCCAAGCTGTGATGCAGTCTCCTGGTCCATAATGACTACAGAAATCACCAAGACACAAGTATAGTGCATAGCTTCCCTTTCCAGCTCTGTGCTGACTTACAGGAAATCTTAGCAGATGCATCATGCTGCTTCCTATGAAAATAGGCTGGCAGCCAACATTTCCCAGTGCAGGGAGAAGGTGGCTGTGATGGTCTGACTGTCAAACAATGCTCCTAGGCCATGTGCCTTAGTATTGCTCCTTCTTTCTGGCTGTTCATGTGAGCTATAAAGCTGTCTATTAAAGTTTTCCTCTGGTACTATGTTTGTGCTTTTGCATGCCAAGTGCGTTTGGGGGTGATACATGACCTCTACAGCTTGGAAAGAGGAATGACCTCCTTGGACTTGCTGCAGCACAGCCAACTTCTGGTTGGGCACAGCAATGTACCATAAGAGGTGGCTTGGAAGCAACATCTAAAGGGTCTGTTTCCTGTTGGGGAAGGAGCAGGGATGGGCCCCAAATCATCCTTGCAACAATGTCCTGTGGCTTTTGTGGAAGTCCAAGATGTACGTATATGGTGGTGAGGTGACTTTCAATCAGTGGCTGAAATGAGGTTCTAGGATGGACTAAAGAAAGGAGGTCTAGCATATGGCTGTGTTTTATCCCTGTAGATAGGGCTAGAAAGGTAGCTGGGGCTTTTATCAGTCTCTTCTGGAGCTTTTTGATGTGTGTCAACCTCTGCTTTAGTGCATTTGGCAGTGTATGGTCTTCTAGTAGTCTTCAAGTTTTAGCATGCATTAAGGTCCACCTCCTGTCCACACCCTACTCAACCCAAACTTACTCTCCTAGGGTCCTGAATCTGACTTGTAAAGGCCTAAATTCTTTCCTAGAAATAAGGAGGGGACTTGATGCCCCTGACAGAGGAAAACACTCCTCTAATGTAGGGGAGAGCTAGTGCCTGCAAGGCCGCATTTCATGCGAGGTAACCTACCTCCATTGGACCTGGCTTCTGAAGCGCTGTATTCTTCCTCTGGAACTAAACATCTCCTTTCATTAAACCTTGTTGCCCTTTCTCCTAGGTACGGACGCTATTTGTCAGTGGCCTTCCTGTGGACATCAAACCCAGAGAGCTCTACCTGCTCTTCCCACCATTCAAGGGA